TTGTTCACTATTATATATTTTTTTCGGGTATCACGATTAGTAGGAGAAGGGGAGCTGTATCATACTTGTGGAAAATGATGCCGTTGCGTTGCGATTGAATTATTGATGATGACAACCATATAATAATTTTTAATTCTTTTCCTGCTACCAATTATAGACTTGGTTCGGCAATATCTTATTAACACATGCACCGACATCCCGACGCCCAAGTTTCCGTCACTAATCTTACGATTGTCTGTGATAAATAAAAAAAGCGAATTATAGAGTTTTCCTACATTAGACAAAGCCATGGATTTTAACAAACAGATAAAATGTAAATAGTAGAAATCTTACCCTCTTCTTTTCAATCTTCTAATATCAATCAACGCTTCCTCCGTCTTTATATTCATATCGCATCAATCTCAGTCAATGTCCCCCTCCATTTTAACTCTGTATCAGTTTCTACACCTCAAATTCAGCCACGTTTTCTTCCTGTTCTTCCGTCGCCGCTTTAATTTGGGCTCGAGCCTTCGCTTCTTTCTCTGCATTCAAGTTCTTCATCTTCTGCGATGTGTCTCATTATCATGACGTTCTTATTCTTCATATTCATTCGTTACGACTAACAACGAAACCCCACATCGTCGATAAATTACTTACAGTATGATTCGTACACCTTAAGGGTAATGAATCGGCCTTCATCAATTGTCTTTTGTTGCATGTGATCTACAAATAATAAATAAATTCTGACTCGTGACATCATTGCATACTTTATATATTACAAGGAGCGGTTCCACCAAAATTGATAATAGCTATTGCATTTACCGCTCAAGTCTAATAAAATTTTCTAAGCAAAGAAACTAATAATTGTAACAAAAATGACTTCTACTATCTCCGAAAATGAACTAGAGGAAATAAAAATGCTTGTAGAAGCAGCTGAACAAGGATATGCTGATGCACAATTTAATCTTGCCTTGTGTTATGATAATGGAGCTGGAGTAGGAAAGGATGAACAAAAGGCAGTTGAATGGTATCAAAAAGCAGCTGAACAAGGATATGCTAATGCACAAGATAATCTTGGGTGGTGTTATGATAATGAAACTGGAGTAGAAAAGGATGAACAAAAGGCAGCTAAATGGTATCAAAAAGCAGCTGAACAAGGACATGCTAATGCACAAAATAATCTTGCTTTGTGTTATATGAATGGAACTGGAGTAGAAAAGGATGAACAAAAGGCAGCTAAATGGTATCAAAAAGCAGCTGAACAAGGTGATGTTTTTGCACAATATAATCTTGCTTTGTGTTATGTGAATGGAACTGGAGTAGAAAAGGATGAACAAAAGGCAGCTAAATGGTATCAAAAAGCAGCTGAACAAGGAAATGCTGATGCACAAAATGATCTTGGTAATTACTATCAAAGTAGTCTTAGATCAAAAATAAATTATCAAAAAGCTGTTGAATTATTTCAAAAATCTGCTGAGGATGGAAATTCTTATGGACAATATAACCTTGGTCAGCATTTTGAAAAGGGGTATGAAGTGAACAAAGATCTTAAAAAAGCAATTGAACTGTATCAAAAAGCAGCCAGTCAAGAAAATGCTTTTGCACAAACTCATCTTGGTATATGTTACAAAAATGGAATTGGTGTAGAAAAAGATATTCAAAAAGCTATTGAATTGTTCCAAAAAGCAGCTGAACAAGGAAATGCATATGGACAACATAATCTCGGTTATTGCTATGAAAATGGAATTGGTGTGGAAGAAAATGAATGCAAGGCAATTGAGTTATATCAAAAGGCAGCTGAACAAGGGTACATTAAAGCACAAAATAAGATTTACATTTTACAATATGATGATAAATCCAAGTTAAAAAGTAAAGTTCAAGAATTAAATAAACTGTATCAAACAAAACAAAATTTTAAATAGCTGGT